ATTATCAATTTGAATTTCATTTTAATTTGTTCGAAATTTAGGACTGAAAGGCAAAAAAGTAAAAGCTTAACATATTTGTTATATTCTGTTTTGTTATTTATTAAAAATTCTTTCATAAAAAACTCGTGTTAACATTCCGGGAATTTACAGTTTTTCAAATCACTACCTCTACAACTGCACAGGATTGCAATATTGAAAAGACATAAAGCTTTGTAAAGCACCCCTTATATTGTATTTTTTTTAATCATATAATAGCATTGTCCTAGTTGTTTCATTATTCTGTGCAAGGAAATAATCCAATTGTTTTGTTCAAAAGGAATAAATGCTTGATCTTTGAGTAAAATATATTCATCACAGAAATGTTTTTGCATTTATGGCCAACTGAATATGCCTAATTTCAAATAATAGAATGTTTTAGAAACTATATATATATGAAGCTGCATTCCTTATTACGGATTAAAAAGTTGGTCCCTTCTTTAAATAAGCCAAATCATGTATATTTTACATAAACAAAGAGACTGTGTATATTTTCAATTTGTTCAAATATCAAGAAAAATAAATACTCAACTGAAGTATGACATAATTACTGTCCCGATAAAGGCATGGATATTTAAAACTTAATTGTAAAATTTCGGCACATTTTTAAACCATTCCTTTCAATACGGACCACATATGACAAAATTACAACATACAATGTGGTTACCAAATAAGAAGGCTTCCTTAAAGCAGAGATATCGCTTATGCACTTTTTTGCCTTTATCAATTCACATGCTAGGGCTTTATAAACGTCCATGATCTTCAAAACATACATAAGCACTCTACATTAAACATTTTGGGTTTAAAAATGCAACTGCTTCATCAAATCATAAAAAACTCACTTTGTAACATGAATTGATAGTATCATTAATGCACCAGTTGTATATTTCGACTCACATTTAGGAGTTGGTTTAACGTATTAAATATTATCAATTGAAAGCTTGTTTGTTTTGATGCGAGATCAAAAGATATTTCATAGACTGATCACCTGAGGACTTCATTATATATACAAATAGAGGTCAATAGCTTATTCTGTTGTCCACCCTTGAAATGCCTTTCAATCAAGCGAAACCATGCAATGTTTTAAGTCTTTGTTTTTTTAGTTTACAAAAAATCGTTTCTGTCTTGTTGGCTTTCAGTTAACAGCGTCTGTCCTTACGTCTTAACCTGCAGTCCACTCATATGTTTGTCACAGTTTATATATTATATGCAAGGTGTACATTATTCAAATACTTTGTCGTCGCCTAAATGTAATAATTTACATATTAAAGATTTGATTGTGTTTCATTTTTTAAGTAAGTGATGGGTTTTATTCCTTCAAAAAAGATTTATTTTTATTCGAGAGTGGACAAATTTATCCTTTTTTAAGAATCATGTTTGATACATTAAGGCGACAAAATATTTACATGTATATGATATGCACCTGGAAATAAGTTAAGCACATCCCCGAAATTTAAACATGGTTGTGATTGAAAGAACAGTCATGAGATTACGACTTAATTGATCTAAGACATAGTAATTTGATAAGTTGCGATACCAATTTAGTAATCATAAATTAGTAAATTTATGAATTTAGATAATTCCAAATTATTGAAGCATAAGCAAATTTTGTTGTTTTTTACCAAAAATGTAAGTGTTGTATATGTATGGTTAAAACATTTACTAATGGATATTTTTGGTAAATGTTGACGATGTTGACGATTACGTTACCTTTTACGACAGTATGTAGCCACATTTTAATAGCATGAGTAACCGCCACGTGGTCGGATGCTAGCCTCAACCTTTCACCTCAGTCAAATACAATTTTGAGGTAATTTTTGCCATTCTTGGTGCAAAGTTTTTTTTCTGTTGTTGCAGGTTGACTACAGGTGGTTCGAACCACCGCCCAAATAAAATTTAAAATTTCAGTTGTGGTTATGTCAAAATTAAGGCAAAATGCCGGTTGTGCTTAACTTATTTCATGTATTTCCAGGTGTATAATTCTATGATATAAGTTGATTTAAAATAGTGTGTTATTAGAACATTGTTACCCCTTGTTATTCTTTACTCAATTATTTAATATTTTGAAAAATAATGCTGAATCGAAAAAGAATTTGAATGCAAAAGAAGACATCTGTAATTTATTTATTAGCCATAGTAAGTCAATATTAATGGGGTGCTTAATCGTGGCGAAGGTTAAACAAAACACACTGTTTCACTATAGTTTTAAAACTGCCTTGACGATGACAAGATAAGCAATAAAATAATACTGAGAAAAATTTTTTAATTGCATTTGGAACAATTTTGTAAAGATTTCCAATTCTGTAATAATTTAAGATGTCGATTATGACCGATTTAGTATTTAACTATATTCTATGCGTTACAACTATTGATATTCTTTTGTATTAGTGTTAGTGACATGAATTGTGTACTTTCTTGGTTATTTACTGATTACTTTTAACCATTTTCAAATTTTCATAAAATACATGATCGGAGCCTTAACTGTCTCTTTGTAGATAATGAAAGCAATAAATTATATTGATTGAAAAGCGCATGCATTTATCATATCTTTTGTGTACAGTTTTTTGCTGCTACAGTGCCTATGTCTTCAGTTCCTTAAAGTATTTTAAAACAGATAATGGATGAAGCACTTCTTGAATTTTTTATTTGACTTTAATGGAATGCTTTTACGTAACCTTGGCTCTTAAGGAGGTTTTCAAATATAGCATTAACATGTTACAAAAAGGCTTTTTGTAAGATATAGGACATGTGACATTCATACACTTAAAATAAACTTAAAGACACTAGAGAGACCATAGATATAAGTACGATATTTATAAGCCCATTGTGTAGACTAAGTATTAGTAATGAAAATGTCATCTTTGATGTAGAAAGTATATAAAAAGTATAAATTGATAAAACATAGTATTTTAAAGCTACATGCCTTTAGTTGAGCCCAAATCAAACCCGAGAAAGTAAGCTAGAAATTTAAGAAAAGTCAAATATTGAAGATTCATGTCATAATTTACATATAATGTGCTATTAGTGACTGATTTTGCAGTATGAATTATCATAGCTTTACATCGTGACTAACGCAGTAAGGTCTGCTATTGCATTTTGACCTTTTTTTTAGTAACTTTCGTTGATTGTAAGTTTGCAATGTGTACATTGCTTTCTGGTTTCACTTCACAATATTTTACTTTTAAATACATTTGATTTTTTCATGAAAGTTAACATGAATCAGAAGCATGCTGCTTAAATATATTTAAGTAAAGTCATTTCCAGAGTGTGTGAATTTAAAATAGTGTTTGTAAAGAAGCAATTGTCAATCGTCTACTCGAAACACAAGAAGCAAAGGGCATTAGTAAATAGATATGAACAAGTTCAGTGAATGAGAATTTTAAAATAAACGAATGAAAGTCAACTGTTATTTATTCCACTTTCCGCGCAAACTTTAAAAGAACCACAATGTTTGTTAGTTTTGTTAAGGTCATATGGCGCCGAAACAGGAACGCTGATTCTGAGTAACCTCGTATGTTACAAACTAAAAACAACAAAGAGCAAGAAAAAATTTCAAAACAGAAAGTTTAAAACGTGTGATACATCTAGTGTTTGCAGTATGCTTTCTTTTTATTTCATGCTTTTCAATGGACAGTGAAATAATATCTTATAATTTCACGGTGAATTTATAAAATATAATACTCACAGTAGCCGGATTACATGTGAATGCGGATGAAAAGAATTTAACTGAAATATATAAGTATCTTCCGATATACACGCTTCGTCAGAAAATGTGCTTCTTTACGCGAAGCTCATAAATATCTGCACTTATCATTAAAAACAATGTAACGTTGTTTGTTTAAGTTTACAGAGCGCACTTCGTTACGAGGAAACAAATTAGTAAAAGTGACTTAAAACCCGTAAAAAGTCCTGAAATAAATAGAAAATTTGTTTGTTTTGTGTGAGAGTCAAATTGTATTTTACTAGTGAACACCAGCTCCTACATTCACTCGTGGCTTCGCCACTCGTGAAAATAATTATATCTGGCGTTCACCCTGTGAAATATTTTTTGATCTTACATGCAAAACTAACAAATATTCTCTATGTAACATATGCATTGCTCAGTAATCAGTAACATTAATGAATGAGATGAAAGAAGATGATCTTAAAATCACACATTATCCGATCAGTTGTCCCTGACGACACACTAAATGAACATGTTCTGTACAAGGCACTCCAGTTTCTTTAAGTGTGAAGTAATAGTTTCTAGAGAATAAAAAACGATTTCATTCTGACATAATTATGCTTGATTCGGCGGACATCGGCATCAATGGCCAATGTCTAATGAACTGTGCTATCGGTGTAAAGTTAACATTGAACAGCCGTAAGCGTCTGAACTTGGATCGAAAACTGAAACGAAAGCTTTAGTGTTTGTGCAAAATTATTACTTTCAGATTTATTATTGTTTTATTTTTATATTTTGTTGTCAATAAAATGTTAGTCAATAAAGCTATGTAAATATCTAACTTGCGTGAAATTTTTGTGTTGATCAAATGTTTGAAAACGCTTCTTTGACGCTAACAATGCGGTTTTGGTTTATCTGTTTGAAAACGTCCTGACAAAATGTATTCAGGATAATAAACACATAAAGAAAATAAATTAGCTTATCAAATGCATGTGATAGGTATATATACGTCCATGATGTAAATCATGGATATTCTGTCGCCACGTGTTGGACCCTGGCTTGCTTCTTGGTATCTTCCTTGCTTACAATCGCCTTTTGCGTGTCCTTAATAAATAAATAAACATGATTCGAAGATGATGACTTAGAACAATAAGAATGTGTCTTTCTACATACTTCATTTTGTTTAATACAAAACTGATGATAATGACAATGATGATGAAGATGATGACGATGATAATGATGATTTTATTTATGATTTTATGATAAACAAATGAAAAACAATACAAAGTAAACCCAGACAAATAGTTTATCCTTTATTTCACATAATACAACAAGTACATATTTAACACTTTATTTTCATATTTACAATATACTAAGTTAAAATATGGAATAATTCTACGGTTGTTTTAGCCCGTATATTTCCGTAAAATAACGAATTTGTTTTGTAAGAATGAAATCCGGTTCAGTGAACTACTATTGTCATTAAGTAACAAATAACAGATGGGCGTATTCTTGGAACTATACTGACTACATGAAGGTTTGAGAAATGATTCAAAGGAAAAAATTATGGCACTGTCCCACACTTATCAAGCCATATGAATGCATTGTCTTTCCAAAAAGAATCATACAATTCAAAACATTATATATTATTAACATGACTGCGTTCTTGAAATCTATATCGACTTAGCGACTATGAAATAAAACACTTGTTTCATGTTATTAAAACAATTTCAAAACTGTTTGATTTCTTATTGCGGGCTGAACAATTTTAAATTTAAAGTAAAATCGGTTGAACAGACAGTTCATTTATGGCTACCCAGTAAAGGTATTAATAATGTGTTTCAGTAGATAACTGACTGAAAATAAAAAAAAATTAAAACAACCTCAAATGGGTTTGTAATATACCTAGGAATTCATATTTAGCTAATTGAATGCCTGTTACTTCGGTTTGTATAAAAACCGTAAACAAACATTTTCAAGGTACAATATGCCTCAGAAACGTAAAATTATTTTCTTTAGAAAGTGCACATACATGAGTTTATAACGTTTAAATAATGGTTTTAGAACATGCTAAATGTTAAGCATCTAAGGAAAGTAGCTCTAAATATTTTCATAAATGCAGAAATATGTAAAAAAAAGTATTATTTTGGCTTCCATACAAAATACTTAAAATGCTTAATCATTATATTTACTAATTGCCAAAAAGGCAGAAGAAGTAAAAGATGGTTCAGGTAATTGGCCAATGAGTACTTTTTACCTTATAATAGTTTACTAAAATAACAAAAATCTTTTTAAAAATAAAGATTAAATTATTTCTGGGACATACGTTTAAAAGATATTTCACTTAACAGCAGTGAGTATTAGACTTATGCTTATACCGCTTATACTGATGGAATGTGTTATATTGAATACGACAAATCTTAACATTTCCTACTTAATAAAATCAGTTTTACGAAAAATACAGAAAAAGATACAAGTTTAAGATTAAAGAACCCGCAATCGTCAATCTTCAAAGTACCAATCGCAACTTCTCGGCTCTTTCCGTCAAGGCTAGGATATTAACCTTGCACACAATAGTAAGAATACACAGAACGGATACAGTATTTCGGTCTAACATGTAAACAAAGAGTAATTTAATGACAAGGTTTTTTTTGCCAATATATCAAAAGTCCCAAAAAGTTATAAAAAGTAAACAGTACATAATTTATATACTTATTATGGTTGTAGGGACTGAAAGTCGGATTTGTTTATATTTGTACATCAATGGGCATTTTTAATTTGATTACGATTGTCAGACATTTCTTTTTAAATATAATTTTACCGACACATACTTTATTTTCATTTGGATGTCATATATTCGTTAAACATTATCATAGATTACACTCTCTGTTTTTGTTTCCATCTAAAACCACGTGGTAGAACTTCCTTCAATCGAATAATAACCGAGAAGTTCCGATTGTACAAAGTAAATCAAAACATGTGCTGATTCTATTTACTGCATGTGTTATATCTAACCATTCCTAGAGACCTTTAAAGAGTTGATGCTACATACAAACAAACAAAAAACAATGTTCCTAGTTAAGTTTATGTAAGAATAGTGTTCATTATCATTCTGTTTCAAAACTTAACAAGAGATGCCGCGCCAAATTCAGAATACAGAATATTTTATGACTGTCTGTAAAAGACTATACTGTAGTTGTTTAGTTTTACAAAGCCTGGTTGTATATAAGTATAATATGGCATGTTTGTAATGTCAATTTATAATGAATAATCGTGAACTAATGTACGCTGTTTCTCAAAAGTTCTTATTTCCCGGATGAAAGAGTTTGACAGTGTTTTTTTACTGATAAGATGACCGAGTATAAGTGATTGTTTGTTATATGACATTGCTTGTCACAAATGGTTAAAACCAATAAAACCTTGGTAGATATTTTGTAAAGACGACTGTAAAATTTTAAGAAGCTGCGACAAACATTAACAATGATGACATTTCAAATAACACAATGAACTATAATATTTCTTTATTATAAAAAATGATTTTGTTTTATTTCGTTTTCTTCAAGAAAACAGTTATCAAATCAAAATTAACCTATATATATCTTAACATGAAACAACATTAGACTATAACGTGCTTATTCTTTTCAAAACCTTCATTAAAACAGCATGTATATCATTCCGATATCATTGGAAAACAATAATACCAAATAAAAGGTTCACTTTGCTTGAAACAAAACAAAATGTAATAAATATTCTGTGTTCATTCTATGCTTTATAGCAAGTAATTTGAACTCATTGTTCTTGATTTATATATATGACTTAACAAATATGGAATATTGCAAGACAATGCAATTGTAGTGTTTTTGTCCTTTTGGGGTTTTATTTTCTCTCTCTCTCTCTCTCTCTTTCGGCCTGATTTTTAAATTTAATGTTATTTTTCCTACAAGCCCTCATAAATAGAGTAAGTATAACTTAAGACATCAATTAAAGTGATAACAATTCATGTGATAAAATACGCCCGTAACTATTAAGCACGCTCACTAGTTTTTAAATTTTTATCAACCATCTGCAAATTTGAAATATTACGGTTCTTTCACGAGATAACGTAAAAATACGTGTTCAGGTATTCTAAAATTTTTACTGACAACTGATCTCCATCTTGATTTTTTTGATATTCTATCCTAAATTCAAGGCAAAGTAATTTTCTTCCATGATGTGTACTCACTCAGTGATGACGCACATGTTTATACATAGAACTAATTATACTTAAAGTTATATACATCATAACCCCTCTAGTACCATGCGTATCCTCCACGAAATAACCATTCACGTAATAAAAGAATTACACCGATTAGATTACACTGACTTAGATAACAAACAAATTCATCATAACATGTCAACATTTGTTCATGGGTTCATGTTTAACAACAACAAAAACAAGAATATCTCTTAATACATATCAAAAAGCAAACATGATTTTTATCGCAGAATAAGTGATCAAATAAGAGTTCAAACATAATTCAAATACTAAGATGACTCGATAATAGCACTACACAGTCTTAGACCGAGATCATAGTAACAATACAACTTTTTTTCTATAAAAGTCAAGAAAATATTATCCGGGCAAATCATTGGTCCTTGTACATTTCCGTTTAATGTTAACTCACGCTCACGTTTGACTGTAAGATCATCCGTTTAGCATTTTTGGAGGTTTACACATAATTGCAAGTTGCAATTAATCTTCCAGAAATTAATCATCTATACCTTTTCCAAGCAACTTTTGCCTTAAATGCAAGCCTGTTTTTTCAAACATATCTTGTGTTCGGAGACTCATCTGAATGTAGGAGTCGATGATTTCACTCTCGTCCTATACATTGATAACATTTCTATCAGCCTCTACAATGAAATATTTCTAAAACAAAACAATAAAACTGAGAATATATCATATCCTGTATAATCTAACAAACTTTTAACTTTCTTGTTTTAAACGCAACTGTAACAATGTTCTTTCCTCTTGTCTCAACTCTTGATAAATTTTTGGAATTTCCAACCAACAAGCTTTACACAAAGTGACTTTGAAGGGCTTTACTCTTTCCATGTTTAACTGCTTATGCAACTACATGTGTAATCATATACGTTTTTCTATTATAATCATTACATTACAGATGAGTCTCCAGATACCTTCAGTCAGAATTCTCATGATCTTCGCTAACATTAAGATGCACCTTTTCCGTGTCAGCTTCAAAGTATGCCTTTGTTTCTTTCACATTTTCATTTCCGTTACTTTCTCTCTGAGGTGACTTGTTCATTACCACTGACGGATTTGTTTCTACATGCGTATATTGTGTATAATTTCCATTTACATTACTACTACTCCCTCGGCGAAATAAACACGGTAGTACAAGTTTGAATTCTTTTTTGAAGTTATCGTTCATCCATGCGTATAAGAATGGATTATAAATTGTCGAGCTCATTGCAATCACATGCGCAGTGAAAAATATAAATGGGTAATAAGAAGTATGTGCAAATGGTTGATGATATTCTCCCACTAAGAGAACCATATTTAATGGCAGCCAGCAGATTACGAATATAGTAACCATAGCTATCAACATTTTGTTAGTTCGACGTTTTCTTCTAATTTCCATTTCGTCTCGTTCTCGGTTAACACTCCCACTTCCAATTCTAGATTTAGATCTTTTTCGTAGAGCTAATGAAACTTTTGAATAGCAGTACGTTATTATGCTACAAGGCACTATATATTGTAGAACAAGACTGGTGACGGTGAAAAATTGTCGTGCCTGCTCTTTTGGCCATTTTTCGGTACATGATTTTGTATTTCCGCTTTTTACAATTTGTTGGTAAATTCCGAGTGGGAGAGAGATGGAAACGGATATTATCCATATAGCAACAATCATTAGCAGACACACACATGTCTTCATCCTTGGTTTGAAGGGATAAACAATCACAAAGTATCTATCAACTGCTATAGCTGTAGACGTTAGTGTTGATACATACACGCATATACATAGTGTCATAGGCACAATATGGCAGAGTACTTCTCCAAACGTCCAGGAATTCATAAAGTACGACAGGGGAGTAAATGGAACAGCCAATAAACACATCATTATGTCTGACACAGCCAAATTTGTAATGAAAATGTTTGTTATTGACTGCATAGCCTTGTTCCGTAGAACAACATACACGACTAATGAGTTTCCACTGACACCAATGAAGAAGAGTATGACGTACAAAATGATAAAAATAGCCGTAAGCGGAATGGATTGTTTAAGAATATCTGGTGGGCTATACGAGTTATTACCATTCAAGTCAGATAATTTTCCGTCCACATGAATGTCAGACGACGCCATTTTTGTCTTTGTCAGAAGGAAATTTTCAATATGTAATCATATGAATAAATTCAATTATCTTCCAATCAAACGCATTAGATGTACTTCAACCTAATGACTATATGCTGGACTCATTTATATATATTTGATATATTCCGTCCATCTATCAATCTTTCATTTTCATTTGATACTAGCAAGTCTGCATTTAAGACTTAGAATCGGAGCCGTATTCTTTGTCATAATCTGTGCACTGTTTATATTAGATAAAGGACAACTTCACAACACTTAAAAGCTTTGCAAAGACTCGTCTGATACTTGATACGTTTAATTTTAAAGTATTTTTGGTCGTAATGTTAAATCTTTAAATTATTCTCTTTGTTCTATTTTCTTTCCTGTAAAATGACATAAGTGCGCTGTAGGTTCACTATTTAATGCTGATATACACTTGTACGTAAAGCAATACAACAACATCAACACAATCTCTGTGACTTGACAAGTCTACCCGGTCTTTTGTCTGTTCATTCCTGACATAGTAGATATGTTGACCCTGCTGTACAATTATGCTATCAGTCTGAAAATATAAAAGTAAGTAGTTCAAATCAAAGAACGTGGAAATAACAAACAAACGAATCGCGAAATTGTAGCTTAATTTCGCATGTGTTTCGTTGTGTTTTGCATAACATTAAAATAGTTATCTTTTATGTAGACGTTCACTATATATGTGGCCACTGTTCCTATGAGGTCTAGTAGCATTAACGAACCATATAATATTATGTCATGGTCATACCTAATTTTGACGAAATCTATAAAAAAAATTGAATGCGGGATATAAATACAATCAATCGAAGACAGACCTTTTAATACAGGATTATGCTAACATTGTAGTGTTAGAATCCACGTGTAATTTTTTAATGTCATATTTCAATATATTTTAACTTTTTAATACACTTCTCATTTCAATACATTTAAATGTTAATACATATTATATTTCAATACATTTTAGATTCCAATACATTTCAGATTTTAATACAATTTAGAATTCAGTACATTTCAGATTTCAAAACATTTCAGATTTCAATACATTTCAAATGTTTATGAAATTCAAATAACATAACATTTCAGATTTCAATACACTTCAGGTTTTTTTGTTTTTTTTTTTTATAAAATTTAGATTTCAATAAATTTCAATACATGTCAAGTTTCAATACATTTCAGGTTTTTAAATGTCAATACATTACATGTCAATTCAGATTTTTATGATATTCAGATTTTAATTTTCAATACACTTCCCATTTCAATACACTTAAATTTTAATACATATAAGATTTCAATACATTTAAGATTTCAATACATTTCAGATTTTAATACAATTCAGATTTCAATACATTTCATAGTTCAATATTTTTCATATATCAATACTTTCAGATTTAATGAATTTCAAATTTCAATACATTTCAGATTTCAATACATTTTAGATTTCAATACATTTGATATTTTAATGAAATTCAGATTTTAATTCAATTTAGAATACATTTTAGATTTTCTATAAAATTCAAATTTCAATTTATTTCAGTTTCAATGCATTTCAAATTTTTATACATTTTGAAATTTAATACATTTCAGATTTCAATAATTTCAGATTAACAATTCAAATATCAGTACATTTTAAATTTAGATTCATTCAGATTTTAATAAATTTCAAATTTCAATACATTCCAGGTTTTGTTACATTTAGGTTGCTGGAACATTTCAAACTTAAAAACAATGAAATTCAAACACATTTTAAATTTAAGATTTTGATGCATTTCAGATCTCAATACATTTTTAAATGTAATACACTCCTAATTCACTATATTTCTGTGTTTTTTCTTCCGATTTCAAAACATTCTGAATTCAAATACATTTCAGATTTTATTTCATTATTTCATTCAAGCTGCTAAAACATTTCAGACTTTAATATAATTATTTTTCGTCAGTACATTTCAGAATTCATTATATTCAGAAATAACTGATACAACTTCTAATACATTTCAGATTATTTTAGATTTCAATACATTTCAGATGGCAATACATGTCAAATTTCAGATTTGAAAAAAAAATCAATACGTTTCTTATTTAAATGCATTTCAAATTTAATACAATATTTAAATATATTTCAGATTTCAATACATTTGAGATTTTAATAAATTGTGACTTAAATAATTTTCAGATTAATTGATTTGAACAATAGATTTTTTTTAGATTTCAGTGCATTCTTAAATTCCAATACATTTAAGATTTCAATACATTTCAAACCATGCTTTTTCACTACTCCCGTAAAATCTAATATAAGTAAAATTCTAGATATTAAACCATAAACTAGTTATAAAAATAAGATCAATTGAGAATTGTCGGACCTACAAATACGGTATGACACATTAATACTAAATATTTTGATTTGTTGGCGACCGAAAAGAAAAAATTGAGAAAAAGATTTCTAATAGCTAGTTTTCCGACCTTATTAACTTTGCCAATGTAATTCCTTTTAAGTAAATGTCAAAAGATCTTGTTTCTTGCAAAGTATAAGGCAAAATAACTACTACTATTGGTTTATAATCAAATGTACTGAAAACCAGTATATCTCTAAACTAAATGTTTACTTAATTAGGTGTGCAAGATCAACGTTATTTCAGCCTATTAACTGAATTAACCTTCCGCCTTTATAAAGAAGTACTAGATGACAGCAGTTATTGTGTTGCTGTTGTTGTTGTTGTTTTTCCTTCAGTATCCTTTATATATTGTCTGGAAAAAAAAACTGTTTCATTTCTTGTTAGAATTTCGCGTAATTGTTACCCGAAATTGGCATATTTCATTTAATTGAATATTAATTGATTCGTTTACATTTTAGAGTCGAATTAGCCTTTTACACTCAGTTCGACACCTGGTACTTCACACCGATTGTTTACGGCTTCTTCAAACTGACACTGAGGACACCATATTTTATTGTATAGCGTATCGACTACTAACTAAACATCTCTCACTATCTTGTTTTTCCTGATTAACTCCGGAAATAATTACAGAAGCAGGAGTTGAAACCGACAAACTGCTTTTAGCATTTTATAATACTCTTAATTGAACAGGATGTTACTACTAATACTGTCTGGTTTGAATAATTACTTTAGAAACACAAATGGAAAAAAGCTTTCCTAAAACATCCTGAAAACATATTACCACTTGTCCAAAACAGGGAAAAGCCATAAAATAATGGCAATCCAATTAAACGGACGTGAAACAGCTTCACATATTTTTAGAAAAGTGTTCAGAATGTTATACTTTACAGTGTTAAGGTTTCGAGAATACAATCAGAGAAGCCGTAGTTTTTCTATAAACGCTATACTCGAATTATTAATATTATTGTTTCAGCAATTTGTCTCTGTTGTTTTTAAAGCAATATAGTTCCTAACCTAAATAGTTCTTTATCTAATTTAATTTAATCATTGCAATAAATGTTTTGCGACGTCTCTCAAACCCACATTCTTATAATTTTGAAAGTCTCGAATACTATTTTGATTCTGACTTTTCGTTTTCATAAATTGTACATTTGTATCTTAAAAAAAAACAAAGATAAACTAACAGCATATTAAACTAAACTTATATTTTAATACATATTTGTAAATGAAAACATGTCATTACTTCGGTGCGTTAAAATTATTTGGTAAGTCTCGTTCTATGCTTAACATACCTTTTGTATGACATTAAAACCTATGAACAAGACATTTATCTCTTAAATACAAATATACATGTATAGCAATTGATAATCAAAAGATTGACATCTCAAAATTAATAATGAATATATTTGCAATTTAAGTGTACGATGGTTGTTCGACAAAGCAGTGAACAGTCGTTGTAAACAAAATTTATAGCTCGAGAAGAATTTTAAAGAAATTTGCTCAATTGCATTCCATCTGTCCGAGGTTAGATAAAAATACATATTTTTTTATAAATAAAATTTCGTAAATCTATACTTAAAATGACACGAATAGTAGCTCTTGTTATCGAGTTCATTCCCCGGACTTGTCACCAGTTATGCCCTTATAGCACAAAGCAGTGATAATTTACCTCAATTCAAACAGATTATGAACAAAAGATATATTTTTAAGCCTAATGTTTAACGGTCAATGAGACCCAAAGCGTACATAAACCTGTGCTAATAGTAAAACTGTTACTAATTCATTTTATATTGAAACTTTTACGATTACTTATTATTGATTTTCCTTATCATTCATCTCACCATGTTCATATCTTAATTCCGATATATAGTTTACATCAATATTTGTATGTTCGTTTTTCTCTTTCAGCGTCCAGCGTATAGTACATTTACACATGAAAGGAGAGAAAATGAAGTTGATGAACTGTCGTCAGACTCTTTTTCGTAATCAATGTTAAGATGAATTGCAACTGCCCGTGCTCTAACAACATCAATCTTCTTTATCTGAGCATCATAATTAAACGCTTCGTACAGTGATCGCTGGATAAGTTAACCTTAAAACACCTCGGCTATATACTGTTTCATTAACGGTATTCTGGTTCACGCAATGGTTTAAATACATGAACGTATCAATAAAAATGTTCTTTATATTTCAAAACCAATGGAAATAACTGAATATGTCCTTGCTTACAAGTTGAAACCAGTTCTATCCATGGTTTGTAGGAATGTAAAGTAATATTGTAAAGAACATTATGTTTTGCTTTATAAATTTCAATTTAAATGTAAATAATTGAACAATTCTTGGTTTTCAAGTTGTGACCAGTTTCATCCATGGTTTGTAGGAACATATTAAGAAATTTTGAAAAGAACATTATATATTGCGCTAAAAAGCAATATATGGTTAGTCGAGACAGTAATTTAAATAACATTGAAGTTGTAATGGCGATTAAGCTCAAGTATGCTTACTTAATAACCTCCAAGCCGGTGTAAACAAAGCTTCGCGACTTTGTATTATTGTGTATGACTTTAAGATAAAGAAAATAACACCATTTACATCTAAAAGAGCAGTAAATTGATGATACTTCAAACCTTGGAGACAATCGTTTATATTATAATGGCATGTTAAAGTTAAATGTCAGCTCCATTCCTGCAATTTTGTTAGTAAAACCAAACTAAACAAATTATCAAAATAGTAAAAGCAACTATCTTAATCATCAATCATGAAATATGTAAAATTAAATTTGCCACATATACAACACAACCCTTAATTGAAGATGATAATTAATGATCAATATGATTAACTGATATTTTCATATTTTATATACACACATGTATATATATCACATACTCTTATTAAAATAACAAATATTTTGCGGTCTGCATTATGCATACTTTATATTAGCTATCCCGGAAAACAGCATGTTCCATTCTTTATATTATTTATCAAAGACATTAATGGTATAAATTGTTATATAAATGATAAGTGCTCGAGTAATCTAATTTACCATTAGAAATGCACTTTTTAAAGATTGAACTATTTTCATGTACAAGAGGTCATGGACATTTGACTGTAACTGTTCTATTAATTTGTAGTTTCCTTTGAC